CTCAGCTGTCTGCTGGAGATCACAGGCAGTTCCTACCTTCAGCCAAGGACTAAGCAGCCTAGACTGCTCATGCTTCCTCCTATGGGTGCTCTTGGCAAGACTGGATGTGCTGGATGTGCTCTCCCAGTTGCTAGAGTCTGCTATGAGTTCCTGACTATAATCGGGTGCTGGCAGCCTGAGCTGTCCAATCTCTGGCCCAGGATATACAGGTCAGGCTATGGTGGGATTTTAGCGTCTGGTTCTCCTGCCCTGGACACACAAGTCTTTTGCCATCTTTGGATGCGATTCCCAGGGGGTGCAGTTCCCTGCTTTCACCCCCTCTGCTGAGCTGTGTGCTCAGCTTCTGACTTCAATTGGGACAGGTGGGTTGTGCAACTCAATATCCAGGCCTGGCCCTGGTTCCTGGTCCCCTGCCTGGGGCACACCGGTTGGACCTGTGCTGCTGTGTATCCCACCCGGGGATCCCAGCCTGGGGTACACAGTTCGAATTTCTTGTGCTGCTAGCTGTTGTGGCCTGCAGGCACTGTTCCTGTCTTGGGCATTTAAGCTCCCTCCCAGGGGTGCTCTTGATCAAGCCTGGTGGGCTGGATGTGCTCCACAGTCTGGTGGGGCACTTGCACAGTTCCAAGTTTTAGTGGGGCCTGTAGTCCAGGAGGTGGGGAGGGTCCAAGTCAAGCTCTGAGGGTTACCGCTAGCACTGGTCTCCTTTGGGGGGGAGAATGCTGTCCCCAGAGGGTATTCACCCTGGATCTAGTTGGAAACTCTCCAGCAGTGCTGTGGCAGATTGCTGTTTCTGTATGATGTAGGTCACCACTGTGATCTGCATTTGGTTGAGATACTTGTGGGCTGTGCTGGGTGGTAGCCGCTCTGGGTCTATGTTTCTCCCTGTCACTGCCTCTGTTGATACTGTCTGGGTCAGTGCCATGAGTGTTTTTTGTGCTGGCCACTGGTGGAGAGGTGGGCAAGGGGTCTTTGCACAGGTTCTGAACTCTGAGGTTTCTGCTTCTGTTTGATCTCTCCAGGTCATCACTGGAACCTTGGGAGTCTTCTGCACTGGCGTTCTTTGGACAGACCCCTGTAGTTCTGGGGTTCCCCCCTTGGCTGTGAGGCTGAGTGGTTTTGGCTGGATGTGGTAGCGCTGCTCTGATGAGGGATGGGGGAAGGGTCTTTGTGCAGGTTCCGAGCTCTGAGGTTTCTCTATTTGCAATCAGCAGCTCTGTCACCAGCACCTTGGGCATCTTCTGCACTGGCATTCTGCAGATGACCAACTGTGGTTCTGGGGTCTCCGGCAGCCTGGCTGGGCTGGCCGCAGTTTGGTGCAGATCTGCGCAGCTAGCAAGGATTGGGGGAAGGGTCTTGGCACTTTTCCATTTTGAAATTCGTCCTTTTCTTTCTTTTTTTTCACCTCCTATTTTTCTCTGGGTATTCATCTTTTTGCTGTTGTCAGTTTCTTGGGGAAATTAAGCATTGGAACTCAAACTCTCTATTTGGTTGGAGAGCTGTGGTGTTTCCCTATTGTCCCATCACCATCTTGGCACCCCTCCAGGCCACATCTTTTTTGTGTGTGGGAGTCCTGAGGTTTGAACTCGGAGCATGAACAATGTCCCTGAGCTTTTTTTTTTTATTTGCTCAAGGCTAGCACACTACCACTTGTGCCACAGCTCCACTTCTGGTTTTTGGGTGGCTAATTGGGCATAAGAGTCTCACAATGGGGGCTGAGAAGGTGGCTCAGTGGTAGAGCGCTTGCCTTGCATGCATGAGACCCTGGGTTCAATTCCTCAGCACCACATAAGCAAAAAGAAAAAAGCCAGAAGTGGCGCTGTGGCTGAAGTGGTAGAGCGCTAGCCTTGAGCTGAAGAGCTGAGGGACAGCGCCCAGGCCCAGAGTTCAGGCCCCACGACCAGACCCCCCCCCCCCCCTAAAAAAAAAGAGTCTCACAATGTTCTGAATCTTGGTTGTTTCTGTGGTGATCTTTCTGGCCCAGGCTGTGATCCTCAGATCTCAGCCTCTAAAACAGCTAAGAATCCAGCCCTCAGAGAAAAGAGCCCACCTTGAAGTTGCTGAATTTCTGGAATTGTTTGGAGATGGTTAGCATTAGCCTCTTTTTTTTGGCTAGTCCTGGGGCTTGAACTTAGGGCCTGAGTACTCTCTCTGAGCTTCTTTTGCCCAAGGCTAGCACTCATACCACTTGAGCCATAGTGCCACATCCAACTTTTTCTGTTTATGTGGTACTGAGGAATAGAACCCAGGGCTTCATGCTAGGCAAGCAGTCTACCACTAAGCCACATTCTCAGCCCCAAGCCCCTCAGATTCTTTTTTTTTTGTCAGTCATGGGGCTTGAACTCTGGGCCTTAGCACTGTCCCTGTGCTCTTCAGCTCAAGGCATGCGCTTTACCAATTAAGCCACAGCACCACTTCCAGTCTTCTGGTGATTAATTGGAAATAAGAGTTTCAAGGACTTTCCTTGCCAGGGCTGGCTTTGAACTGCAATCCTCAGATCCAAGCCTCCTGAGTAGCTAGGATTACAGGCATGAGTCACCAGTGCCCAGCTGCCCCTCAGATTCTTAAATGCCATTTCCATGGAGGAGCATGGTCCCAGGGTCAGTCTTCTTTTTTTTGCTTTGCTGTCTCTTTATTCCTTAGGTGACATATCCCTTTATCCTTTCTGGGGCCTTTTATTCTTCTTACTCCACTCCTACCCCATCCTTAGATACTTGCCTTGTATATCCAAGTGTTTTAATGTCTTTCTTATTTATTCTAATCCTCCATATACAGTCCTTATTCCTTACGCTTCCTACCATGGCAACTAAAAGTATTTGTGTTATATTCTTTTGTTGTTGTTGTTGGTCATGGGGCTTGAACTCTGGACCTGGACGCTGTCCCTGAACTCTTCAGCTTAAGGCGAGCACTCTACCACTTGAGCCACAGTGCTACTTCCAGTTTTCTGAGTGGTTTATTGGAGATAAGAGTCTTATGGACTGTCTTGCTGGGCTGGCTTTGAACCATGATCCTCAGCTCTCAGCCTCCTGAGTAGCTAAGATTATAGGCATGAGCCACTGGCACCCAGCTTGTGTTATATTCTTTTAAAACCCATCTACTGACATGTGTGATGCTGGGGGCTGAACTTATGGTATCATGCATGCCAAGCACATACTCTACCCCCTAAAGCCCACCCTCATACAATGCAGTGGCATTAATTACTCCTGCATATGTGGCTCCTTCTCATTCTCCATCTCACAAAGAAAAGCATACAAGTTTAAATGTAAGGTACCTGAGGCTTTTACTTATATAGTTTTAGAAAGCCCCCAGAATTAAAAACCTATTTTTAAAAAATAGTTAACTTTTAAATTGAAAAAAAAAATATATATATATATATACATACATACGTATGTAGTACATAGATACTACAACATGATATTTGAAATCTGTATACATTAAGGACCCATTTCTTATTGTGTGACTATTGAGTGCTTACTTGATTAGAAGAGAGAAACTATATACTGATTTGAATGGAGAAAGTTTAACTTAAATATCTTTAGCTATAGTAAGATTGGGAGTGACAAAGAATTAATGAGTAAAGAGAAGCCTAGACAATAAAGGAATAGCAGATGCAGGCATAGCCAATTCTAGGGATTTGTGTCAGTCCATTTTTGGTTACCATGACAAAATACTGAACACTCAACTTTCAAACATGAATCCTTTGGGAAGGTGTACTTAAATGATATCCAAACCGTAGTAGGATACAACTGAGTATGGAATAGTCAGGGAAGAGGCTCACCTAGATCCCAAGAGTGAGATCCAGACTTTGTAGGGAGGGCACAGCCATTGTTCATGGCATGGCACAAGAGTTGCTCTTGTGCCACACTGCCAGAACTTGCTGGAAAACTGCCCTCTCAGCTTCCAGAGAAAGCTCTTCATGTAGAAGGTGTCACTGGAGACATTCTACAACAAATCATTTAAAAGGTCTATCACGGAAAGGTGTTAAGTTCTGGGCACTGCTATCTACAATGCACTATAGGGGCTTGAAGCTGGAGTAGCTACCAGCACTGTCCATGTTGAGTGCTCAGGAAGCCATAGGAGCTATAGGGTCTGGATGCTAAAGAAGTCATTCATGCACACTGCAGGAGCTGAGCTCAGAGAAGCCACCCACGCTACAAACCTGACTGCCAGGGATGCTGTGTGTGCATCAGGAACCAGATGGTAAAAGCCACTTGTGTTGCAAGAGCCTAGTGCGAGACCAGCTGTCCTGGCTAGAGGAGCTTGATGAGTGAGCCCCCCACCCCACACTCCAGAACCAAGAAGCAAAGCAATCTTCTCCTACAGTGTCTCTCCAGCACCCTCCACTGACAAAGCTTAACAGTGGGCACGCTGGAATAAAAAATTACTTAAGAAGATCCCAGATCTGTTTTTGTGGAGCAGATAAGAAAAGGTGAATTTGGAGTTGAGAGGTAATGAATTGATAACATCTATGCCTCAGTTTTCTAAAGTCAAATATAGAAACTATATAGTAAATGTAAATTTATTGAATTTAGGTAGATAGAGGTAGGTATTTTATTCCTACCTCTATTCAGAAGGATTTTCAAGCATCTGTTCAGTAGAATTAAAAGGATTATATGTTATATTTGGAAAGGAAAGACAACTATATTAAATATTAGCACTCTCAGTCTTTGAGTTTTAGTTCTTCCGGGTATAACATTAAATTGTGCCAAATAAAGTGTGAATATGAGCCAGAAGTGTGGCTCAGTGATAGATCTCTTGCGTAGCAAGTACAAGGCTCTGAGTTCAAATCCCACTACTACCAAAAATAATTTTTCATTCCCTACTGAATGTCAGTATGAGTGGTATAATGTCAGCATTATAAATTCATAACAAGTATAACCTCTATGAAGGTATACTGGAATTGGAACTAATATTGAGGATAGCTGACTTTGATTATGCACAGAGAAACAAAACAAGAAGATAAATATAGATGTGAATCTTCTCTTACATAAGAATTCTGAGTGCTGGCTTTAGTAGCACATACACTAAAATTAGGACAATACAGAGTAGACTAATTAGCTTGGTCACTGTGAAAGGATAACATGCAGATTCATGAAAGGTTCCATATTTTTGTGAAGTAAAGTCAAGTTCAGGAGGACAAAGGTCATATATTTTCTCTCATAGGTGAATGCTAGACCGAAAAAATAAACATATACATAAACATAAACAGGATTGTATGTATATGTCTGTGCAACGTGATTGCAGCATATGCATGTTCACCTTACTATGATAAAGACCTTTTAAACAGTAACTATGCACTTAATCAAAACTGGATGTTAGGGAGATGAAACAGGTCATGTCCAAAATGTAGGTACTACTAGGAAGGGGTAGGCAAATAAAGATTTAAAGGAAGGTGAATCTGGTCAAAATATCTTATTTGTGAGGATAGAACAATGAAGCTTTTTTTTTTTTTGTCAATCGTGGGTCTTGAACTCTGGGCCTGGCACTGTCCCTGAGTTCTTCAGCTCAGTGCTAGCTAGGATTACAGGTGTGAGCCACTGGCACCTGGCCAATGAAGCTTTTTGAGACTGGTTCAGGAAGGAAAGGGAGAAGAGAAAGAGTGACAGAAGGGGTGAGTCTGAACAAGGTACATCATATTCATATATAGACTAGTCAAAATGAAACCTCTTTTTTTTGGGGGGGGGTCCGGTTGTGGGACCTGAACTCAGGGCCTGGGCACTGTCCCTCAGCTCTTCAGCTCAAGGCTAGCACTCTACCACTTGAGCCACAGCACCACTTCCAGCTTTTTTTTTTCTGCTTATGTGGTGCTGAGGAATCGAACCCAGGGCCTTAAGCATACAAGGCGAGCGCTCTACCACTGAGCCACCTTCCCAGCCCCATGAAACCTTCTTGTATAAACTAATTGATGCCAAAGAGAAGAAAAAGAAGCCAGGGCCAGGCACTGGTGGCTCATGCCTGTAATCCTAGCTACTCAGGAGGCTGAGTTCTGAGGATCATGGTTCAAAGCCAGCCTGGGCAGGAAAGTCCATGAGACTCTTATCTCCAGTTAACCACCAGAAAACCGGAAGTGGTACTGTGGCTCAAATGGTAGAGTGCTCACCTTGAGCTGAAGAGCTCAAGGAACTGTCCTTGAGGACAGGCCTAGAGTTCAAGCCCCATGACCAACCGCCCCCCCCCACAAAAAAGAAGAAGCCAGATGCTGTTGGCTTATGTCTGTAATCCTAGCTACTTAGGAAGCTGAGATCTGAGGATTATGGTTCAAAGGCAGCCTGAGCAGGAAAGTCTGTGAGACTCTTATAGATTTTTATTAACCACCAAAAAGCCAGAAGTAGAGGAATGGCTAAAGTAGTAGAGCACTTACCTTAAGCAAAAAAGCTCAGAGACAGTGACTAGGCCCTGAGTTCAAGCCCTAGAACTGGTACAAATTAAAAAAAAGAAAAGAAAAAAATCTGTGGTGAAGTGGTTAACTCTGTGGTGAACAAATTTAACTCTGATGCTGGTGGATCTTTCGGGGACAATGTTTCAAGTCACTGTTCTACAATCCTCTAGGATGTTATGAGCAGCACCATTATTTTGGGGGTCACTGTGGAGTTCAATGGGAAGGGGAAAGAGGGAAAAGTTGGCTATTTGTTCACAGTTGTAAAGTTTACCCAGAACGTCACATGTCCCTTCTGCTTTTACCCCAGTCATAATTTTCCTTTGTGTCATTTTCACTTTTGCTCTTCTTTTTAGGTAAGGCTATTTGGAAAAGTAAACAGCAGGAAATTTCTGGAGAGGTTCCATTTCACTGTGAGACATTTGATCTACCCACAGAAAATTCCTTATGTTCCATTTTAGAACTGCGGCAAGAGAATGACCAGAGAGAGCAATGTCAGGAAAACCCACAAAACCCTTTAAGCCATGTCAAAGTATTGATTAAGGACAAGGCTTATGACTGTCAAAACATGGGAAAAATAATTCACAGAACTACCAAGTTTATTCCCCTAATTAAAGGACTCCATCACTGTGGCACATCTGAAACAAGATTGAAGCATATTTTAAACTTATATAGTCAGAGTAGAATCACTCCAGAAAAGAACCCTGACAAAATTTTTGGAAGTTCACATAGCTCTTACTCAACTAAGAATGACCAGGCTAACATGGGAGCAACTTCCTATGAATATAATCAATGTGAAAGTTACCTCAGCCAAAAACAAGCTTTCAAACTCCATCAAGAAATATATCCTGGAGTGAAGCTTCATGTATATAATGAATATGTAAAGATCTTCCCTCAGAAGCTGATTGAGCATCAGGACATTCATGCTATAGAAAAATCCTATGAGGGCAACCAAGATGAGAAAGTATTCACTCCAAAACCCCACACTGACATACACCAGGGTGTTTCTAGAGGAAAGAAACCCCATCTATGTACTCAGTGTGGGAAGTCTTTTACCCTCAAGTCAAACCTCACTACACATCAGAAAATCCACACTGGGCACAAACCCTTTAAATGCAATGAATGTGGAAAAGCCTTTTTGCAGAAATCTGATCTCTTTAGACATCTGAAAATACATACAGGAGAAAAACCTTATGAGTGCAGTGAATGTGGAAAAGCCTTTTTCCAGAAATCAGATCTCTTTAGACATCTGAGAATTCACACAGGAGAAAAACCTTTTGAATGCAACGAATGTGGAAGAGGCTTCTCGCAGAATTCCGACCTCAGTGTCCATCTCAGGACCCATACTGGGGAGAAGCACTATGAATGCAGAGAGTGCAGCAAAGCTTTCACAAGAAAATCAACCCTTAAGATGCACCAGAGAATTCACACTGGAGAGAAGCCTTATGTGTGCATGGAATGTGGCCAGGCCTTCATCCAGAAATCACATTTCAACATGCACTGGAGGATTCACACTGGAGAGAAGCCTTATGAGTGCAGTGACTGTGGGAAGTCCTTCACTAAGAAGTCCCAGCTCCATGTGCATCGAAGAGTCCACACAGGAGAGAAGCCCTATGTTTGTACTGAATGTGGAAAGGTCTTTACTCATAGGACAAATCTCACCACACATCAGAAAACTCACACTGGAGAGAAACCTTATATATGTGCCGAATGTGGGAAGGCCTTTTCAGATCATTCTAATCTCATCAAACACCAGAAGACTCATAGTAGAGAGAAACCCTATGAATGTAACGGCTGTGGAAAAGCATTTGTATGGAAGTCACGTCTTAAAATCCATCAGAAATCTCATATGGGAGAGAGACACTATACATGCAAGGAATGTGGGAAAGCCTTTATCCAGAAATCAACACTAAATGTGCATCAGAGAATCCATACAGGAGAGAAGCCCTACATTTGTCCTGAGTGTGGGAAGGGCTTCATACAAAAATCCCATTTCATTGTACACCATAGAATTCACACTGGAGAGAAGCCTTATGAGTGCAGTGATTGTGGGAAATGCTTCACTAAGAAGTCACAGCTTCGGGTGCATCAGAAAATCCACACAGGGGAGAAACCCTATGTATGTGCTGAGTGTGGAAAGGCCTTCACTGATCGGTCCAATCTCATAGCACATCAGAAAATTCATACCAGGGAGAAACCCTATAAGTGCAGTGACTGTGGGAAATCTTTCACCTGGAAGTCACGCCTCAGTGTACATCAAAGATCGCATACTGGAGAGAGGCATTATGGGTGCAGCAAGTGTGGGAAAGTCTTTATGCAGAAAGCAACACTAAGTATGCACCAGCTAATTCATACAGGGAAGAAGCCCTACTCATGTACTGAGTGTCAGAAGGCCTTCACTGACAGATCAAACCTCATGAAACACCAGAAAACCCACAGTAGAGAAAAACTGTAAAGCCATTGAATGAGAGAGCCTTTGACTAGAAATCACAATGTGCCTAGCCTTCATTGGCTCAGCCTAGCAGCAACATTTCATGCTTCAGTCATAGTACAGAGTAAGCCGAGGTGGTGACTTGAGTGAACAGAGGCATCGGTGCCAAAAATGTCCTCTTGTTGTCTGAAAATACAAGTTCTATAGAAACCACAATGTGCCTGCATCAGTTTGGCTTAGTGGGGAAGAACATTTCATGCTGCAATCATGGTACAGGGGAAGTAGAGGTGGTGAGTTCAGTGAACAGAGGCAAATGGTGTTAAAACATCCTTCTGTTGACTAGAAATACAAGTTCCAGCTTTGTTCCAGTTGACACAGTTATTTGCATAGGGAGCTCTTTTATGTATTTTATTATGTTGGTCATGGGGCTTGAACTCTTGGTCTGGGCGCTGTCCCTTGGCTCTTCTGCTCAAGGCTAGTGCTCTACCACTTGAGCCACAGAGCCACTTCCGGTTTTCTAGTGGTTTATTGGAGATAAGAGTCTCATGGACATTCCTGCTAAGGCTGGCTTTGAACCAGGATCCTCAGATCTCAGCCTCCTGAGTAGCTAGGATTACAGGCATGAGCCAATAGCACCTGGGCTGCTGCTGCTGCTGCTGCTTTTTTTTTTTTTTTTTTGGTCTATCGTGGGGCCTGAACTCTGGGCTTGGGAGCTGTCCCTCAGCTCAAGGCTAGTGCTCTATTGCTTGAGCCATAGCACCACTTCTGGCTTTTTCTGCTTATGTGGTGCTAAGGAATTGAACCCATGCCCTTATGCATGCAACACAAGCACTCTACTACTGAGCCACCTTCTCAGCCCAATGCCCGGCTTCTTTTATGTATTTTGGTGGTGCTGGAATCAAACACAGGTCCCAATGTGTCTGCTAGGCAAGCATTCTACCATTGAACCAAATATGGGAAGGCCTTGATTGATACAGGGGCTCTCAAACTCCTCAAAATGATGAAATAAAGACCTGAGATGACTTGTCATCTACTCTTTATTTTTGTTGGTCCTTGGGCTTGAACTCAGGGCCTGGGCACTATCTCTGAGCTTTTGTGCTCAAGGCTAGTGCTCTACCACTTGAGCAGTTTCCAGCTTTATGGTTAATTAGAGATAAAAGTCTCACTGAGGCCAGGCACTGGTGTCTCACACCTGTAATACTAGCTCCTCAGGAGGCTGAGATCTAAGGATCATGATTCAAAGCCAGCCTGAGCAAGAAAGTCCATGAGACTCTTATCTCCAAATAACCAACAGGAAACTGGAA